CAGTTGATTTCTTCAAACCAAGCTGCTTACCTATTGCAGATTCAGTCTTCCCAGCCTGGTGCAGGTCTACAATTTTGTTGTTGGTGTCCTTTGACAGCTCTTTGGTCTTGGCCATAGTGGAGTTTGGAGTGTGACTGTTTGAGGTTGTGGAAAGGTGTCTTTCATACTGATAACAAGTTCAAACAGGTGCCATTAATACAGGTAACGAGAGGAGGACAGAGGAGCCTCTTAAAGAAGAAGTTACAGGTCTGTGAGAGCCAGAAATCTTGCTCGTTTGTAGGTGACCAAATACTTATTTTCCACCATAATTTGCAAATAAATTCATTAAAAATCCTACAATGTGATTTTCTGGATTTTCTTTTCTCATTTTGTCTGTCATAATTGACATGTACTTATGATGAAAATTACAGGCATCTCTCATCTTTTTAAGTGGGAGAACTTGCACAATTGGTGGCTGACTAATACTTTTTTTCCCCATTGTATGTATCTACGTTGTAAATGTTCATTCATAGGCTAGGTTGTAGCAACCTCATGATGGGTATAGGGAACATTTGAGTATCATGTAATAACCTAAACCAATCGAAGTTACATTGAGCTGGGTGAATGGAATATGAATGACAGTCATCCAACATGCTCTAATACAAATAAGGCCATGCGCCCCAAAAATAAATCATCCTCCCTCATATTAAACGGCACCAACCGCCACTGGTGTGTAAATGGGATATAAAAAAACAACAACATGTTTTCACTTGAAAAAAATAATCGATTTAGAATTTAGGCTGTAACAACAAAATGTGGAATAAGTCAAGGGTGAATAATTTCTGAAGGCACTGTTTATCCATTGCTTTTGTCAAAATTGCTCAAGCAGTAAATTTGGTAGGGAATAATTGATGGACAGCAATATTCAAACATTCTCTGATTTTCAAGGAAATTGATGTCAGGACTGCGACTGGACCACTCAACACCTCTTGAAAAGCCATTCTAGTGTGTTTTTGGCATTAAAATGTGTGTAATTGTCCCGGTGAAAAATATAACTATCCCAGGGTTAGGTTTTCAGAAGACTGAGGTGAGTTCTCCTCTAACTTTTTACCTGAGCTTTCATATTTCTTTTGATCCTGAAAAACTCCTCAGTCCCTGCCGGTGACAAGCATACCCATAACATAATGCTGCCTCTACAATACTTAAAAATACAGAGGGTTTCATTCTGTGTTGTGTTGTATTGGATTTGACGCAAATCTTTAATTTTGGCCAATATTTTAATTTCTTTGCGGTGTTGTCTTGCAGTATTACTAGTGCTGAGCGATTAGTGCTTTTTGAGGTCGGTGTGATTATAAAAATATAATCACGGTTTTCGATTTCGATCATTTGGGTTGAATGCTGTAACACAGAATAAAACAATTAATATAAGTCCCATAATGGTAGTGACTGCCCATTACTGCTGATCACTTATTGACCATAATTGATTCACATTACTTTAATAAAATATTGAAGTTGTGTATATTACATTTGTTTTATTTGATGACTTAATAATTTAATTCCAAGTCATCTCATCTCTATAGAGCTGCTGTCTGACAAAATCACTATTTTGTAGTTCTTCAAAAGTAAATAAGGCATACTTTTATGACTGCTGAATACCAACTATCAATCACTTAGATCACGTATTTTCAGGTAGAGATACCTTGCGAAGCAACAGCTGTTCTCTATATCCCCTCATGCGTAGAAACATGACATCGGGTCTCGCCTAACTGCGCATGTGCAGGCCGTCAAATCAAAGGCACTCCTTCGATATAAAGTTGTTTTTGACGGAATTGAAAACGTGTCAGTTTGCCACTTTCACGGGGTTGGAGTAAAAACATGTTCAACTACTTAAGACTTTGGCTCGAATCTAGGTTGTGCCTTAATATTTCGAGAAAATCAACAACTAAGGAGGAATATTTCACTTCTCTCATTGACTTGTCAAACCCCAAATCCCAGGCTGGACTTTTTGGTCTGCTTCACAAGCTTTCCTGGAGGTCTCACGATGTTGCGCCACTGGGTTTAGAAACTATGTGGAGAAACTTTGCAATGCGCGCATTGAGCTCACAGAAAAACCGCGAACAAAATGGAATTCAAATAATTGAACAGTCGTCGGTCATTTAGTTGTTTCAAAGCCACAAAATAACTGACATTTTAGTTAATCGTTAAGCACTAAGTATTACTTAACGGCCTTATTGCAAACAGAATGGGGGATTTTAAGTGTATTTTTTTAACACAGGATTCCTTCTTTTACATGTTTCTTACAAGCCAGTAATGTGGAGTGAATGCAATGTTGTTGATCTTCTGTATTTACAATTATTGTGGTGGCAGCATCATGTTATGGGTATGCTGGTCACCGGCAGGGACTAGGGTGTTTGTCAAAAACGTACACAGTTTGGGGACACACCCCAAAAGATGAGAAGTGTTTTCATAAGGTAGAAAGAAAGTAAAATGAGTAAAAACGTTAGCGAACCGGCGGTTTTAACTTTGAATAGATTTTCTGACCGATTCATGCTACATTTGGATCGGTTTGGGGTCGCTGACCGATGCATCTTAAACATTTGAACCGGATTCCGATCTGTATCGATAAATCATTACACCCCTAATGCTTTCAGTAGATCACTGCAACAAAAAAAACATGCTCATATTTTACCTTCTTCATCATCAATTTTTGGGAGGATACCGGTCTCCTCGTCAAAGTCAGGGAACTCCTCTTTAGAAAGAACATTAGCAGCAATCATCTGAGGACAGGAAAAAGAATAAAACCATGAAATAATAATAATAATAAGCCATTTAGCAGACGCTTTTATCCAAAGCGACTTACAGTCATGCGTGCATACATTTTTAGGTATGGGTGGTCCCGGGGATCGAACCCACTACCCTGGCGTTACAAGCGCCATGCTCTACCAATTGAGCTACAGAGGACCACAGATCAACATCACAGGAATAAAATGAGCCAAGATGTCTTGATGAACCCTACATGTGTACACATACAGTACCAGTCAAAGGTTTGGACGCACCTACTCATTCCAGGGTTTTTCTTTATTTTTACTATTTTCTACATTGTAGAATAATAGTGAAGACATCAAAACTATGAAATAACACATATGGAATCATGTAGTAACCAAAAAAGTGTTAAACAAATCAAAATATATTTTATATTTGAGATTCTTCAATGTAGCCACCCTTTGCTTTGATGACAGCTTTGCACATTTACATTCACATTATAGTCATTTAGCAGACACTCTTATCCAGAGCGACTTACAGTTAGTGAATACATATTTTTTTATACTGGCCCCCCGTGGGAATCGAACCCACAACCCTGGCATTGCAAACGCCATGCTCTATCAACTGAGCTACATCCCTGCCGGCCATTCCCTCCCCTACCCTGGACGACGCTGGGCCAATTGTGCGCCGCCCATGAGTCTCCCGGTCGCGGCCGGCTGCGACAGAGCCTGGATTCGAACCAGGATCTCTAGTGGCACAGTTAGCACTGCGATGCAGTGCCTTAGACCACTGCGCCACTCAGGAGTACTTTTGCACTCAGGTTGCACACTCTTGGCATTTTCTCAACCAGCTTCATGAGGTAGTCACCTGGAATGCACAACAGGTGTGCCTTCTTAAAAGTTAATATGTGGAATTTCTTTCCTTCTTAATGCATTTGAGCCAAATCAGTTGTGTTGTGACAAGGTAGGGGTGGTATACAGAAGATAGCCCTATTTGGTAAAAGACCAAGTTCATATTATGGCAAGAACAGCTCAAATAAGCAAAGAGAAAAGACAGTCCATCATTACTTTAAGACATGAAGGTCAGTCAATCCGAAAAATTTCAAGAACTTTGAAAGTTTCTTCAAGTGCAGTCGCAAAAACCATCAAGAGCTATAATGAAACTGGCTCTCATGAGGACCGCCACAGGAAAGGAAGACCCAGAGTTACCTCTGCTGCAGAGGATAAGTTCATTAGAGTTACCAGCCTCAGAAATTGCAGCCCAAATAAGTTCTTCACAGAGTTCAAGTAACAGACACATCTCAACATCAACTGTTCAGAGGAGACTGTGTGAATCAGGCCTTCATGGTCGAATTGCTGCAAATAAACCATTACTAAAGGACACCAATAAGAAGAAGAGACTTGCTTGGGCCAAGAAACATGAGCAATGGACATTAAACCGGTGGAAATCTGTCCTTTGGTCTGATGAGTCCAAAGTTGAGATTTTTGGTTCCAACCGCCGTGTCTTTGTGAGACGCAGAGTAGGTGAACGGATGATCTCTGCATGTGTGGTTCCCACCGTGAAGCACAGAGGAGGTGGTGTGGGGGTGCTTTGCTGGTGACACTGTCTGTGATTTATTTAGAATTCAAGGCACACTTAACCAGCATGGCTACCACAGCACTCTGCAGCGGTACGCCATCCCATCTGGTTTGCGCTTAGTGGGACTATCATTTGTTTTTCAACAGGACAATGACCCAACACACCTCCAGGCTGTGTAAGGGCTATTTGACCAAGAAGGAGAGTGATGGAGTGCTGCATCAGATGACCTGGCCTCCACAATCACCCGACCTCAACCCAATTGACATGGTTTGGGATGAGTTGGACCGCAGAGTGAAGGAAAAGCAGCCAACAAGTACTCAGCATGTGGGAACTCCTTCAAGACTGTTGGAAAAGCATTCCAGGTGAAGCTGGTTGAGAGAATGCCAAGAGTGTGGAAAGCTGTCATCAAGACAAAGGGTGGCTACTTTGAAGAATCTAAAATATATTTTGATTTGTTTAACACTTTTTTGGTTACTACATGATTCCATATGTGTTATGTCATAGTTTTGATGTCTGCACTATTATTCTACAATGTAGAAAATAGTAAAAATAAAGAAAAACCCTTGAATGAGTAGGTGTGTTCAAACTTTTGACTGGTACTGTACCTGGTTGATCTCCCACTTCTCAAGGTCTGATATCTTGGTCAGTCTCTTGCGCTCCAGTGTGTCATCCTCCAACTCAGGGGCGTGGCCCAGGTTGAGGTCAGTTGGGCGGTCGGGGTTCCTCATGATTTTCTCCTCCCCACCATCCGGGCCCTGGTTCCTCCTCCTGTTGGGGTTCAGGTCCTCCCCAGTTTCCTGGTCTACATCCTGGCAACCAAGAGCAGAGTATTAGTTTCAATTATAATTTAATTTAGCTTCATGTCTTTCATCATGCTTACCAAAGGGCATTAGGCTTTGAGTTCATTCCTGCTCTGTGTTGCTGTCTTACCTTCATGCTGAGACTGGTCTTGGAGCCAGTGAAGGACAGCACCTTGATCTTGACCCTTTGACCTTTCTGGACCACATCAGCCACATTGGCAACACGTCCCTCTTTGCGTAGCTCAGAGACGTGGACCAAGCCCTCCCAGCGTTTCCTACAATGAAAAACAAAAAAGGCTTTCAACATTGGTTTTTCAAAACATTGGCTCACCTACAGAGACAGAACGTGTTGGATACATGCTTTCGATATTTTCCAATTCTCTTTACTGACCTCAGTCCCTCCAGCTGCACAAAGCAGCCAAACTGCAGGATGCTGGTGACTTTGCCGTTGAAGATGTCCCCTACAGCAGGTTCTTCTGGTGGGGGCCGGTCCACGTGTTTGTCCTTAAAGCGGTCAGAACCAACCTCAATGTCTCGATCCCTGGAGGGGCTAGGACTGCGGTCACTCCAGCGGGAAACGCGTTTTCGACCGCGTTTGAAGTCCCTCTCGTGGTCGCAAGACGGAGAGCGTGAGCGTCTCTTCCGGTCTCTGTCTTGGCTCCGACTTCTGCTGCGCTGCCGTTTGTTGTCCAACCTAAAACAAGAGCCATATAAATTAAGTTGCCCTAATAGATAAGACCTATTTTTCATCCAATTCAGGGTTTTGCTATTCATAGTGCACCAGTAAAACTTTCTTGCAAACCCTGTGAATTATCTAAATGTCCTTACCTGCTAGTTGAGTTTGTTCCACTGACACTGGGCATGAACATCTCCAATTCTTTCATGGCGGCATCTGCTACCTTCACATCATCGTCTTCTAGCGGAACCTGTGGGTGTTGTTAGAGAGCATTGGTCTACTGACAACCATATGCTGTGTGTGGGGAGTGGGATATAATAGCAGTGCCTTGTCTAGCCACTGTGTATGTACTCATTTCTGAGAAACTTACGGGAGCTGGATTGTCTGGCCTGCACAATCCAGGAAACATCTCCTTCAGTTTGTCCTTCTCACTCTTCTGTTTGACCACAGGCTCTGAGACTACCACCAGAAAATTAAGAGATTCAGCATGTCATTTTGAAACAGTTTAAATAATCACATAGAGTATGTCAAATTGTATACCAGCATTGTATAAATCATATTTGAATGTAAAATATCAGCTGCATTCAACACTAACCAGGGTTATATACAGTATATGATCAACTAACCTTTGCTGGTAGATGCTTTTGATGGCCGCATAGTTTGAATAAGTCTGAGCAAATTGCTGATGAGAGAATCCTATGAAAGAGTGAAAGTGGATTCAAAATCAGAAAGTGTATTGATTGGCGGGGCTAATTTTAAACATATCAAACAGCTACATCACACTTACTGTGAAGTCTGCTCCATTTTTTAGCAACAGTGATTTGAAGCCATCAAATGTTGGTTGCTTTTCAGCAAGGCAGATGACAAACTCAGCTAAAAGAGACGGCAAGAATAGTCAACTTCACTGTGTAATTCAGATAATTTGAGGTAGTCTACTGTTTCTCTTTTGATACTAGCTATACCGCTATCATTAAATAACGGATTCGCAGCAAATGCTTTATTCTTGTTTTGCCATGAATGCTCAAATGAAACTAAACTAGATAGCTTTTATGGAATTCAGGGAAATGTGAAATACAGTAACGTTACTGCCAAATACTTCAACATGTAAAATAATGTTATGGGGTCCACACCACCCACCACACTTTCAAGCCAAAGTAGCCATCTACTGTACAGTAGATATGACTAAAAAGAGAAGACGTTTTACAATCGGAATTCTTTGTTGTCAAACACTGGAGTACAATTCTTAATGTTAGCTAGCTAAAACCAAAGGTAGGTAAGCTAGCTAGCTTAGCAGCAAGCTAACGTTAGTCAGATTGTCACCCCACATTTGGAATAAAGTAGTGTGCCGATTCAACTTGCCAAGATCTTTCTCGCATATCCCAAGATGGTTGTCAAGTTCTGTACACACTTTGGACACCAAAGACAGGTATTCAAGCCGTTTAAGCTCCTCAACTCCGAAGTCTGCCATTCTCCACAGCGTTTGTTTTGTTTTCAGAAAACGTAGGCATTGGCAACACACGTTACGTTATGAACTTTGACCACATTTCCGGGTTCTGTGTGTAATGATTTTATTGGTCACCAGGTGGGGGTAAACTCATTGCCCATATGACCATTTAAACTCCTACACGAGTGTGGCTGCCAATAAAACATTTCTAAATTAAACATTGGCAACAAAGTAAGAGAGCGCATACAATATTTAATGAGTGCAGGAAAATGTTAGGATTACACTAGCACAGTAAAGCAATCCCTCAAAGCTAAACCAAAGACAATGCAAGTATGAAGTTCCACCCTGTTATTTCCCTTCATTGTATAACATATGGCCTACTATAAAAGACAAACTCTGTCTCAGAGCACTGTGCTCTTAAAGCAATTACATTCACCGACTTTAAATTACTGCCCAGTCCCCTTCCTATTCAATTTATCATTTTCGGAAGTTCACACACACAGGTCAGATGTGACATTCAAGTAAAACAAACATATGTTTCGTTGTCCATGATACTCAAATAGAAGATTGATTCTCCTCAGGGGATGAGACATTTATTCATGTTCCCCAAACAAGCCTGTAGGACAGGGGAGCAATGACCTGACCCCTTAAATCGTCTCACTTTACTAGTCGACTTCTACACAGGTCAAGAGAGAGAATTGGGCCTACCAGTACCTCAGCTCAAAATGATAGAATAGCAGTTAAAAGAAGACAGCGGAGCACACATAAAACACATACTTTACACATCCAAAACAAGTAGATAATGACCCAGCTTTATCAATAGCATGTTACAGCTAACAGCTAGCAAGGCCTGTTGGCAGACAATGTCTCTCCATGGTATTTCTCAACCAGCTGATATAAGAGTGTGTCCCTCTCTTTCTGTGTAGAGATACACAATACACATTCTAGCGCCGCCGAAAGGCGCGGGAGATTCTCCAAGCGTTGGGCTCTTCGTAACGATTGTAGAGTGGCTCGAGGCGCTGCTGCTTCTTCTGTTTGCTGAGGCGTGTGGGGTCGGACACTTTAAAAAAGGCAGGCGAGAACTCTACCAGCCAGCGTGGGTCAATGGTGGTCACCTCACGCATGTACTCCTTAGTAGTCAGCACCAGCTCATGGTACACCACCCTGTGGAGAGAGAGGAATAAGAGGATCAGGCAAAAGGAAAAGGATTTCCAGGATGGCTCAGTAACAGTTGACATTCAATGTAAACTAGTGACTAATCCTTTAGTCCCCATGGTAATCATGTAAGGAGCGTTGACTCACCACTCAGGCTGGCGGTTGAACAGGGCACTGGAGGGGTGTATGTACACCACCTGCTGGTCAATGAGGGTACGGTAGCCCTCCTGGGGATCCTTTTTGGCTGCGTTCCGGAAGAAACCACTGCAGATGGCCTTCTGTACACGCACTGTGGCCTTTCCACAAGTCACCACATCCAGTTTATGTCTGAAAAGAGGTCAAAGGGTTTGGATTTGTGTGAGAAGATTTCATGCAAGTGAGGTTTCTTTACCAGATATACAATTACCTTCATCATCAAATGGATAGTGGAACCTACCTGTCCATGATACCCAGCATCTGTTTGCGGATGTCCTGGGCTCTGCGCAAGGAGCGGGCCTGTATGAAGTTCTCGTAGCACCAGGGGTTGGAGAACTTGTTGTTCTTCCAGGAGTTATAGACAGCCAGCAGAGTAAGGTGGTCTCCCTCAGCCTGGTGGAACTTGGCCTTCTTCTGGTCAGCCAGGGCTTGCTTGTCCTGAGAGACAGAGAATAAAAGGACTGTTAGCCATCAAATTATCAACAATGGCACACCATATAACTGCCTCATTGAGGTCTCCACCTATAATGGTAAACCTCAACACAACATTCAACCTTGCTACAAAAAATAAATAAAAATAAAAATCTAATTAGGATTCCCAGAGGAGTGATCCAACCCTATTTCAGTGTTTATGGGTCTTGTGATTTTCTGTACCTTGGGCCTGTAGAAGACGTTCTGCACAGACAGCATGGAGACGATGGTGAGCATCTCCTCACTGCAGCCCAGGTGGACGGACATGATCAGCATCTTACACAACATGGGCTCCAGAGGGAACTCAGCCATCTGACAGAGAGATGGAAATAATTAATTAGTTGGTAATGAATCCTCACTTTTTCCTTTTTTAACAATACTCCTTTTTTTTTTATATAAATGCTTACCCTGCGTCCTAGGCGAGTGAGCAACCCTTCATCGTCCAGAGACCCTAGAGTGTAGAGCTGCTCCATAGCTGTGATCAGCGTCTCCATGGGTGGAGCGTCCATGAAGTCAAACGATAGCAGGTCATTGATGCCCATGGCCTGAAGGAATAAGGAGAAAGGAAAGTCAGGGGATGACACAGGAGGAGTAGGTCTGAGCAGACAAGTATATACCACAGATGCATGTGCAGGGAAACAAGGTTTAGCCACTTTTGTTACTGTGTGCATACCTTGAGGGACAGCACAGTGCTGGCCAAGTTAGTTCTCTGGATCTCGGGCACGTTGGTGGTGAGCATCTCGTCTCTGTAGGCTCTCTCTGTGTACAGCCTGTAGGTCTTCCCTGGGCCAGTTCTTCCAGCTCTTCCAGCCCGCTGCTTGGCTTGGGCCTAACAGAAGTTACATTGAAGCCCTTAGCATCCCAAATTCTAATTGCATGGTTTGCAAAGGGCTTGAGAGAGACAGCAGGGTTACAATTTGGGTACATTTAGAATATAAATTGTAATTAACCAGCCTACCTGTGAAATGGGGGTCACCACCAGCTGGTCAATACCAGTCTTGGAGTTGTACACCTTTTGCTTCACAAAGCCTGGGTCCACCACATAGTAGATACCGTCAATGGTCAGAGACGTCTCAGCAATGTTAGTGGCAATGACAACCTTTCTGCTGCCGGGGGGAGCAGGGTCAAAGATACGGGTCTGCATCTCGCTTGGCAGTGCAGAGTAGACAGGTAGAATGATGAGTTCAGGCACTTCAGGTCCCAGAGACTTCATCCGTTCATACAAGATCTCACAAGCTGTGTCAATTTCTTCCTGACCCGTCAGAAACACCAGGACATCACCTGCAAAGAAGGAGAGCGAGAGAGGACTTAAAGGTTGATAACTCTTTACAATCAAGGTTGAATCTCAAACTGACATTTTATAGCAATGGATTTTCATTCATGCAATGATTTAGGTCAATGACTATGAATTACAGTTTGACTATAGATTGGGTATAACCTTTGTAAAAACCGTACCTGGTGGCTCGGTCAGGTGGATCTGCATGACGGTGATGAGACTAGCGTCCAGGTAGTCTGTCTCAGGCTCTTTGGTGTAGAGCACCTCCACTGGATAGGTACGTCCTGGGATGGTAAAGATGGGCGCTTCGTAGAAGTACTGCGAGAACTTGACGGCATCTAGTGTGGCTGAAGTGACAATCAGCTTCATGTCTGTGCGTTTCTGCACCGTCTGAAACAGGGCGAGGAAGAGAAAGAGTTAGCTTAATACAAAACTTTCCTTCAAAATATTAGAGATGTTTAGACCCTGCCGTCAAGGGGAAACAAGACCCTGGTATACCTTCTTGAGCAGACCGAAGAGTACGTCAGTATGGATGGTCCTCTCGTGGGCCTCATCCAACATGATGATGGCGTACTGGCCAAGGTCCGGATCTATCAAACACTCTCTCAGCAACATACCGTCTGTCATGTACTTGATCACCGTCTCAGGGCTGGTGCAGTCCTCAAAACGGATGGTGTAGCCCACCTGGTGTGGAAGAACGAAGACAGAAGTTAGAAATCACTAGGACCAGACGTTTGAGATTTTTCTACGATCAGATATATTCGACATTGTCTCATGGTCACGTGTTAAGATATATGCAGTGTGGACAGATCACTCACCTCCTGGCCCAGACAGCAACCGTACTCTTCAGAGACTCTCTTGGCCACAGACATGGCTGCCACACGACGGGGCTGAGTGCAGCCGATCTTCCCCCGAGTGGTGTAGCCCGCCTCGGCCAGGTACTGGGTGATCTGGGTCGTTTTCCCAGAGCCAGTCTCGCCAATAACAATCAGGATCTGGTTATCATGGACAGCCTGTAATAGAGAAGCAGAGATGTCAGCAAAATCTTATGCCATAAATTATCAAAACGTTTGATGTTGAAGTAGAAATAACTAGCGAGATATAATTTGCAAACTTTTGCACAAACCTGTATGAGCTGCTCTTTGAGCTTGTAGATGGGCAGGCTCTCTCTCTGCTCCAGGATGGACATCGCTGTCTTCTTGCCATAAGAGGCCTTGTTGCCCCCAAAGGCATGTTTCTTCCACTCCGGGATGTCAGTTGGCATCATGCCGATTCCTCTCATGTTGGCTGCAATCTGCCTTCCATCAACTGTGTAAGAGTGAAGTGTCTTTAATTGAGATGAACTGGCATGACATTTTACCTCCACCCCTTCAGATGACTGGTGAGCCAGCCCGAGTCTAGGGCCCTGGCAGGAACCTTTACACCCATGGAGGACACAGCACACTCTATCCGGCCTGTTAGGATGCTAAAGGAAACCAGATAACCATCTCCAGTCCTGCTAACCCTGAGGGCTGCTGCTGCTACACTGGAGGAAGTCTGATGTAGTGGCTCAGACAGGACTGTGTTTTGGATTACTGTGTGCTTCCATACGGACTTACCGTCAGGCAGGGGGTCTACCCAGTGTTTGTTCAGGCCCATGGGGATAGAGTCCATCTCAGCCTCTCGCTGACACTGCTTCACCTCCCTCCTCTCCTTAGCCAAAGCACTCTGCATCATGGCTGCCTGGGACAGCGAGCCGTCTGGATTCTGACAGAGGGAAACAGAGTAAGCTGCATTTGTTCACACTACTAAACAGGACGAAAACAGTCAAACAAAATTGCCTTGAAAGTAGGGTGATCAAGAGGACATGGAAACATACCTTAACAATCTTGACAGGGCTCATGTCCATACTCTGTTTAGTGTGTCCTCTCAGGAACGGAGGCTCCTCCTCCACCAGCTCAATCTCCAGGTCCTCATCTGAAAGAAAGACATGGGGCAAATCAGTATCCAATACATTGATGTGAATCTAAACTGACAGTGGTTTTCTATACAGCAAATGTACACGAGAGGGCGTGCTAAACTACTCTTTTAGCACGGATGTGCTGCGGTCATAGGTACAAGGCGGAGCCGAGCACCGTAGATCAGCACAACCGTGCTCAAAAAGTAGTTTTTCACAACCTCGAGTGTACAATTGCTTTTCTACAACTGGTTACCAATTAAATAAAAAAACGTTATTATTTTCAAATCGGTTAGGTTGCCAGAGATGCGACCCTATCGTGAAGTATTTTTGTTCTATATCTATGGACGCGACCCAGTCGTTCATTCTAAATGTTCTATTATCGCTATTATCCCTTGCTTGCTAGCTAGCCTAATACGACTATCACGTTAAACCGTGCAGCTAGAATAACAGCAAAGTAGCTGCATTTCATTTAGTTTGACCTGTTTTTCTAGTGACATTTCCTTGTATATATATATACATACAGTGGGGGAAAAAAGTATTTAGTCAGCCACCAATTGTGCAAGTTCTCCCACTTAAAAAGATGAGAGAGGCCTGTAATTTTCATCATAGGTACACGTCAACTATGACAGACAAAATGAGAAAAGAAAATCCAGAAAATCACATTGTAGGATTTTTTATGAATTTATTTGCAAATTATGGTGGAAAATAAGTATTTGGTCAATAACAAACGTTTCTCAATACTTTGTTATATACCATTTGTTGGCAATGACACAGGTCAAAAGTTTTCTGTAAGTCTTCACAAGGTTTTCACACACTGTTGCTGGCATTTTGGCCCATTCCTCCATGCAGATCTCCTCTAGAGCAGTGATGTTTTGGGGCTGTCGCTGGGCAACACAGACTTTCAACTCCCTCCAAAGATTTTCTATGGGGTTGAGATCTGGAGACTGGCTAGGCCACTCCAGGACCTTGAAATGCTTCTTACGAAGCCACTCCTTCGTTGCCCGGGCGGTGTGTTTGGGATCATTGTCATGCTGAAAGACCCAGCCACGTTTCATCTTCAATGCCCTTGCTGATGGAAGGAGGTTTTCACTCAAAATCTCACGATACATGGCCCCATTCATTCTTTCCTTTACACGGATCAGTCGTCCTGGTCCCTTTGCAGAAAAACAGCCCCAAAGCATGATGTTTCCACCCCCATGCTTCACAGTAGGTATGGTGTTCTTTGGATGCAACTCAGCATTCTTTGTCCTCCAAACACGATGAGTTGAGTTTTTACCAAAAAGTTATATTTTGGTTTCATCTGACCATATGACATTCTCCCAATCCTCTTCTGGATCATCCAAATGCACTCTAGCAAACTTCAGACGGGCCTGGACATGTACTGGCTTAAGCAGGGGGACACGTCTTGCACTGCAGGATTTGAGTCCCTGGCGGCGTAGTGTGTTACTGATGGTAGGCTTTGTTACTTTGGTCCCAGCTCTCTGCAGGTCATTCACTAGGTCCCCCCGTGTGGTTCTGGGATTTTTGCTCACCGTTCTTGTGATCATTTTGACCGCACGGGGTGAGATCTTGCGTGGAGCCCCAGATCGAGGGAGATTATCAGTGGTCTTGTATGTCTTCCAGTTCCTAATAATTGCTCCCACAGTTGATTTCTTCAAACCAAGCTGCTTACCTATTGCAGATTCAGTCTTCCCAGCCTGGTGCAGGTCTACAATTTTGTTTCTGGTGTCCTTTGACAGCTCTTTGGTCTTGGCCATAGTGGAGTTTGGAGTGTGACTGTTTGAGGTTGTGGACAGGTGTCTTTTATACTGATAACAAGTTCAAACAGGTGCCATTAATACAGGTAACGAGTGGAGGACAGAGGAGCCTCTTAAAGAAGAAGTTACAGGTCTGTGAGAGCCAGAAATCTTGCTTGTTTGTAGGTGACCAAATACTTATTTTCCACCATAATTTGCAAATAAATTCATAAAAAATCCTACAATGTGATTTTCTGGATTTTTTTTTCTCAATTTGTCTGTCATAGTTGACGTGTACCTATGATGGAAATTACAGGCCTCTCTCATCTTTTTAAGTGGGAGAACTTGCACAATTGGTGGCTGACTAAATACTTTTTTTCCCCACTGTATATACACAGTGGGGAGAACAATTATTTGATACACTGCTGATTTTGCAGGTTTTTCTACTTACGAAGCATGTAGAGGTCTGTAATTTTTATCATAGGTACACTTCAACTGTGAGAGACGGAATCTAAAACAAAAATCCAGAAAATCACATTGTATGATTTTTTAAAGTAATTAATTTGCATTTTATTGCATGACATAAGTATTTGATCACCTACCAACCAGTAAGAATTCCGGCTCTCACAGACCTGTTAGTTTTTCTTTAAGAAGCCCTACTGTTCTCCACTCATTACCTGTATTAACTGCACCTGTTTGAACTCGTGACCTGTATAAAAGACACCTGTCCACACACTCAATCAAACAGAGTCCAACCTCTCCACAATGGCCAAGACCAGAGAGCTGTGTAAGGACATCAGGGATACAATTGTAGGCCTGCACAAGGCTGGGATGGGCTACAGGACAATAGGCAAGCAGCTTGGTGAGAAGGCAACAACTGTTGGCGCAATTATTAGAAAATGGAAGAAGTTCAAGATGACGGTCAATCACCCTCGGTCTGGGGCTCCATGCAAGATCTCACCTCGTGGGGCATCAATGATCATGAGGAAGGTGAGGGATCAGCCCAGAACTACACGGCAGGACCTGGTCAATGACCTGAAGAGAGCTGGGACCACAGTCTCAAAGAAAACCATTAGTAACACACTACGCCGTCATGGATTAAAATCCTGCAGCGCACGCAAGGTCCCCCTGCTCAAGCCAGCGCATGTCCAGGCCCGTCTGAAGTTTGCCAATGACCATCTGGATGATCCAGAGGAGGAATGGGAGAAGGTCATGTGGTCTGATGAGACAAAAATAGAGCTTTCTGGTCTAAACTCCACTCGCCGTGTTTGGAGGAAGAAGAAGGATGAGTACAACCCCAAGAACACCATCCCAACCGTGAAGCATGGAGGTGGAAACATAATTATTTGGGGATGCTTTTCTGCAAAGGGGACAGGACGACTGCACCGTATTGAGGGGAGGATGGATGGGGCCATGTATCGCGAGATCTTGGCCAACAACCTCCTTCCCTCAGTAAGAGCATTGAAGATGGGTCGTGGCTGGGTCTTCCAGCATGACAACGACCCGAAACACATAGCCAGGGCAACTAAGGAGTGGCTCCGTAAGAAGCATCTCAAGGTCCTGGAGTGGCCTAGCCAGTCTCCAGACCTGAACCCAATAGAAAATCTTTGGAGGGAGCTGAAAGTCCTTATTGCCCAGCGACAGCCCCGAAACCTGAAGGATCTGGAGAAGGTCTGTATGGAGGAGTGGGCCAAAATCCCTGCTGCAGTGTGTGCAAACCTGGTCAAGACCTACAGGAAACGTATGATCTCTGTAATTGCAAACAAAGGTTTCTGTACCAAATATTAAGTTCTGCTTTTCTGATGTATCAAATACTTATGTAATGCAAATTAATTACTTAAAAATCATACAATGTGATTTTCTGGATTTTTGTTTTAGATTCCGTCTCTCACAGTTTAAGTGTACCTATGATAAAAATTACAGACCTCTACATGCTTTGTAAGTAGGAAAACCTGCAAAATCGGCAGTGTATCAAATACTTGTTCTCCCCACTGTATGTATATATATATATATATATATATATATATATAAAAATTATGCTGATTCATGATTTTGAATGGCTGAGAAAATATGCCCGTCTCATCCTGACATGTTCATTCTCAATAGAACATTTGAGATCGAATTTCAATATTGATACAATGTTGCAAATGTCGAGACTGACAGCAATGTTTGTACAAATCCCCGTTATTGCAAACCAAATGTTAGGCTAGAAGCAAGGGGAAATAATGTCTACATGCTTTTTACAGTGGAGATCAAGTTAATGAATTGGCTGACAGGACAGTGGATGCTCAGGGATTTCTCAGATGGAACAGAAAAGGAGATGCCCATGTTTGCATCATAAACTTACCCGTACTAAACAGTTTTATTTAGTATGGCTTAGAACATGTCTCAACCAAATCACAATGCTTGTTTTGACCAACCCGTTGTAGAATACACAATAACATAAGTCATGTTTTACCTTCTTCGTCATCTACTTTGGGGAGGATACCGGTCTCCTCATCAAAGTCAGGGAACTCCTCTTTAGAAAGAACATTTGCAGCAATCATCTGAGGAAAGAAGCATTATTAGATCAAAATAGCATTATTAGATCAAAATCACATTAATAACAGCCAAGAGGTCTTGATAAAACCCTGTATGCACATACCTGTTTGATCTCCCACTTCTCGGGGTCTGATATCTTGGTCAGTCTCTTGCGCTCCAGTGTGTCATCCTCCAACTCAGGGGCGTGGCCCAGGTTGAGGTTGGTTGGGCGGTCGGGGTTCCTCATGATTTTCTCCTCCTCACCATCCGGGCCCTGGTTCCTCCTCCTGTTGGGGTTCAGGTCCTCCCCCGTTTCCTGGTCTACATCCTGGCAACCAAGAGGAGAGCCAGTGTTTCAGTAATAATTAAAATGTCTTTCATAGTGCTTTCCAAAAGTTCCAAAGTCTTCAAAATTTAAAGTGGCACTCCAGTCTCCTTTTCACCAAAAAGGTACATCAATAGGAGGTCCAGGTAAGTCATGACATAGTACAAGTGTGGGGTGGGCCTTTTCTCTTTTGTTCCTCAAGCAAGGGGGAGGCCGATGGCATCACAAATTTCATCAAACCAACTTCTTGAAGTTTTTACTGTTTTTAAACTTGGGATATTGTTTATTCAACAGGAAAAGTACTTTAAATGCCCATATTTTTACCCACATGGTTACAGGGATGCAACTGGTGAGTGCCCAAAAAGGTGACATTTTTCAGTGTAAACTGCAAGAAAATGTGCCTATTCTCGAGTGGGTTTGTCACAATTCCAACACTTTACTAACGATGTGATACCAAGTAGTATCGTGATACCACAGGGTTTGGCCCCCCCCCCCAGGACACCTGTTCCCGTTTTCTATACGTGCTGCACTAAAACCTGTCCCTGATATTCACACCTCCTCTACTCAATACAACACATTGAATTTAACTTCACACTTTTTACTGTATAACAGAAAAGGCTACTGCTGAAAATGGATATGAGCAAATCAGCTAAAGGCCTACCTGTGATTGGGCAAGAGGAATGTAGTAAGGTTTGGGCTTAGTGGGACTATCATTTGTTTTTCAACAGGACAATGACCCAACACACTTCCAGTCTGTGTAACGGCTCCACAAATCACCCGACCTCTAACCAATTGAGATGGTTTGGGATGAGTTGGACCGCAGAGTGAAGGAAAAGCAGCCAACAAGTGCTCAGCATATGTGGGAACTCCTTCAAGACTGTTGGAAAAGCATTCCAGGTGAAGCTGGTTGAGAGAATGCCAAGAGTGTGCAAAACTGTCATCAAGACAGGCTGCGAGCATATGCTGACCAACTGGCAAGTGTCTTCACCGACATTTTCAACGTGTCCCTGACTGAGTCTGTAATACCAACATGTTTCAAGCAGACCACCATTGTCCCCGTGCCCAAGGACACTAAGATAACCTGCCTAAATGACTACCGACCCGTAGCACTGACGTCTGTAGCCATGAAGTGCTTTGAAAGACTGGTCATGGCTCACATCAACACCATTATCCCAGAAACACTAGACCCACTCCAATTTGCATACCGCCCCAACAGATCCACAGATTATGTAATCTCTATTGCACTCCACACTGCCCTTTCCCACCTGGACAAGAGGAACACCTACGTGAGAATGCTATTCATTGACTACAGCTCAGCGTTCAACACCATAGTGCCCACAAAGCTCATCACTAAGCTAAGGATCCTGGGACTAAAAAATAAAAATAATGTATGCACATGTAACTGTAAGTCGCTCTGGATAAGAGCGTCTGCTAAATGACTAAAATGTAAATGTAAAATGTAAACCCCTCCCTCTGCAACTGGATCCTGGACTTCCTGACGGGCCACCCCCAGGTGGTAAGGGTAGGTAACAACACATCTGCCACACTGATCAACACGGGGGGCCCCTCAGGGGTGCGTGCTCAGTCCCCTCCTGTACTCCCTGTTCACCCATGACTGCATGGCCAGGCACGACTCCAACACCATCAATAAGTTTGCCGACGACACAATAGTGGTAAGCCTGATCACCGACTATGATGAGAGCCTATAGGGAGGTGGTCAGAGACCTGGCCGTGTGGTGCCAGGAGAACAACCTCTCCCTCAACAAGACCAAGACAACGGAGATGATTGTGGACTACAGTAAAAAAAAAAAAAAAAAGAGGACTGAGCACGCCCACATTCTCATTGACAGGGCTGTAGTGGAACAGGTTGAGAGCTTCAAGTTCCTTGGTGTCCACATCACCAACAAACTAACATGGTCCAAACACACCAAGACAGTCGTGAAGAGGGCACGACAAAGCCTATTCCCTCAGGAGACTGAAAAGATTTGGCATGGGTCCTCATATCCTCAAAAACTTCTACAGCTGCACCATCAAGAGCATCCTGACTGGTTGCATCACCGCCTGGTATGGCAACTGCTCGGCCTCCGACTGCAAGGCACTACAGAGGGTAGTGCGTACGGCCCAGTACATAACTGGGGCCAAGCTTCCTGCCATCCAGGACCTCTATACCAGGCGTTGTCAGAGGAAGGCCCTACATTTTGTCAAAGACTCCAGCCACCCTAGTCACAGACTGTTCTCTCTGCTACCGCACGGCAAGCGGTACCGGAGTGCCAAGTCTAGGTCCAAAAGGCTTCTCAACAGCTTCTACCCCCAAGCCATAAGACTCCTGAACAGCTAATCATGGCTACCCGGACTATTTGCACTGCCCCCCCCCCACCCCCACCTTTTTACACTGCTGCTACTCTGTTAATTATTTATGCATAGTCACTTTAACTCTACCCACATGTACATATTACCTCAACTACCTGATGCCCCCACACCGGTACCCCCCTGTATATAGCCTCCCTACTGTTATTTTATTTTACTTCTGCTCTTTTTTTCTCAACACTTTTTTGTTGTTGTTTTATTTTACTTTCTTATTAAAAAATAAATGCATTGATGGTTAAGGGCTGTAAGTAAGCATTTCACGGTAATGTCTACACCTGTTGTATTCGGCGCATGTGGCAAATAAAATTTGATTTGGCTACTTTGAAGAAACTCAAATATAAAATATATTTGGATTTGTTTAACACTTTTTGGGTTACTACATGATTCCATGTGTTATTTCATAGTTTTTATGTTTTCACTACCATTCTACAATGTAGAAAATAGTAAAAATTAAGAAAAACCCTTGAATGAGTAGGTGTGTCCAAACTTTTGACTGGTACTGTAAATGCATAATGATCTGCATTTTCATCGTGGCAGTAAGGGGAAAACACACTAGGCCTATATGAAACCATCTTTAGTCTACTCGTCAGACAACTTTACACATCTCTCACCCCCCTCCCCTCCCAACAGTTAGGCACCAAACTGAATTTAAGGAACACCAGAAAAATTTATTCAGCTTAGAATTACTTTGATTAGGCATATGGATTCTACCTTTGAAGCATCTCTTTGAGTAGGCTATATATATATATATATATATATATATCCCCTTTCTGTTTTTCCCAGTGCCATCCACATTTGTGCATAGCCAAGGTACAATGTTGTTAGCTAGCTAGCCAGTTAACATGACTAAACAAGGTCCAAAAACGAGCAGCCCGCTAGATGGTTTATAAAATGATCAAATGTGCACTAATAGCGGTAGAAAGGGCAGAAGGTAGCTCCAGTAATATTGGGCATAACTTTTGAATGGTTTTCAGTTTCACGTAAAAGGAACAAGCATGACTGTCACTGTGCTCCATTTTTCCTCTATGGCAGTGGCACTCAGAGGCTGCATGACAGCGAAATCAGAGTGAACTGCTTGTTCTTACTGCCGAAATGAAAATAAATATCCGCGAGGCGAGCCGCTCCAATAATTAAACAAATGTAACAGAAACCCCACAGTGGTCTGCATCATTGGGAAATTGAAAAAATATGGAACTACCCAGACTCTGCCTAGAGCTGGCCGTCCGACCAAACGGGCAAGAAAGAACTTGGTCAGGGAGGTGACAAAGAACCCAATGACCACTGACACAACTACAGAGTTTCTTAGCTGAGATGGGAGAACATGCCAGAAGGACAACAGTCTCTACAGCACTTAACCAATTTGGGATTTATGGGAGTGGCCAGACAGAAGCCACTCCTGAGAAAAAGGCACACGACATCACACCTGGCGTTTGCAAAAAGGCATGTGAAAAAGATTCTGGTCTGATGGGACAAAAAAATTGAACTCTTTGGCCTGAATGAAATGCACTATGTCTGGAGAAAACCAGGCACAGTTCATCACCCACCTAACACCATCCCTACCATGGTGGTGGCAGCATCATGCTATGGGGATGCTTTTTAACCGGCAGGGACTGGGAGACTGGTAAGGATAGAGAGAACAATGAACGGCACCAAATACAGGCAAATCCTTGATGAGAACCTGCTTCAGAGTGTAAATGAACTTAGACTGGGGTGAAGATTTATGTTCCAACATGACAATGACCCCAAGCATACAGCCAAAGCAACGCTGGAATGGCTTCAGAACAAGAGATGTGAAAGTCTGAGTGGTCCTGCCAAAGCCAACTTGAATCCTATTGAAAATCTGTGGAAAGACTTGAAGATCACTGTTCACCGCCACTCACCATCTATTGTAACTTAACAGAGCTTGAGAAAATCTACAAGGAAGAATGAGAGAAAATCCCCAAATCCAGATGTGCAAAGCTGATAGACATACCCAAGACGACTCAAAGCTGTCATCGCCACCAAAGGTGCTTCTACAAAAGTATTAACTCAGGGATGTGAATACTTATGGAAATGAGATATTTCAGAATTTCATTTTATACATTTGCTAAAATTTCTGTGTAGATGGGTGAGATTTTTTTAAATATTTAATCAATTTTGAATTCAGGCTGTAACAACATTTTGTCAAGGGGTACGAATACTTTCTGAAGGCACTTTGGCTCAATATGGTAGAATACACTCACCTTCATGCTGAGACTGGTCTTGGAGCCAGTGAAGGACAGCACCTTGATCTTGACCTTTTGACCTTTCTGGACCACATCAGCCACATTGGCAACGCGTCCCTCTCTGCGTAGCTCAGAGATGTGCACCAACCCCTCCCAGCGTTTCCTACAATGCAAAACAGATAAGGCTTTCAACATTGGCCACTCAAACGCGAAACAAGTTCTTTACTATTGCACTAATGACTTTTGGCTTTGCATTAACACAACTCCTTTACTGACCTCAGCCCCTCCAGTTGCACGAAGCAGCCAAACTGCATGATGCTAGTGATTTTGCCATTGAAGATGTCTCCCACAGTAGGCTCCTCTGGTGGAGGGCGGTCCACGTGTTTGTCCTTCCACCGGTCAGAGCCTTCCTTTGGGTCCCTGTCTCGGTCTCTGTGGGGGCTGGGGGTGCGACTGCGCTCACTCCAGCGAGAAGCACGTTTCTTACCACGGTCGCGGTCCCTCTCACGGTCTCTGTCTCTCTGACGATCACGTTCCCTAGAGCGAGATCTAGAGCGTGAGCGGGACCGAGAACGATGACGCCTCCTCCTGTCCCTGTCTCGGCTCCGACTTCTGCTGTGCCGCCTCTTTTTGTCCGACCTGAGGAATGCAATTTATGAGCTCCAATCTATGTAACTGAGCAAAATGTACACTTGAAGCCAATAAGAGTTTAATAGGTGAAATCTCTTTACCTGCTCTTGCTCTTTGAGTCTGATCTACTCACACTGGGCATGAACATCTCCAACTCCTTCATGGCGGCGTCTGCAATCTTCACATCGTCTTCATCTAGTATGGCCTGGGGGGGGTCAGAAATGGTAGACCAAATGTCAGTAGGTCACGCAGTCAACCAAAGTATAGCCTATACTGTATATTTCACCTGCAAATTAACTAAGTTATAACACAAAGACTTACCATGGGAGCAGGATCGTCTGGCCTGCATAATGCTGGAAACAACTCCTTCAGTTTGTCCTTCTCACTCTTCTGCTTGACCACAGGCTCAAAGGCTAGAATCGTAGAGTAAAGAGTCAGCAACTCAGCAAGTCTACAACATAGTAACAATAGCATATACAGTGCATTCGGAAAGTATTCGGACCCGTTTACTTTTTCCACATTTTGTAACGTTACAGCCTTATTCTAAAATGGATTAAATTGGTCCCCCCCTCCCCTCAAACTACACACAATACCCCATAATGACAAAGCAAATATAAATATTTTAAAAAATGGAAATATCACAATTACATAAGTATTCAGACCCTTTACTCAGTACTTTGTTGAAGCACCTTTGACAGCGATTACAGCCTCGAGACTTGTTGGGTATGACGCTACAAGCTTGGCACACCTGTATTTGCGGAGTTTCTCCAATTCTTCTCTGCAGATCCTCTCAAGCTCTGTCAGGTTGGATGGGGAGCATTGCTGCACAGCTATTTTCAGGTCTCTCCAGAGATGTTAGATTGCGTTCAAGTCCGGGCTCGGGCTGGGCCACTCAAGGATATTCAGAGACTTGTCCCGAAGCCACTGTCTTGGCTGTGTGCTTAGGGTCGTTGTCCTGTTGGAAGGTGAACCTTCGCCCCCAGTATGAGGTGCTGAGCGCTCTGGAACAAGTTTTCATCATTGATCTCTGTACTTTGCTCCGTTCATCTTTCCCTCGATCCTGACTAGTTTCCCAGTCCCTGCCGATGAAAAACATCCCCACAGCATGATGCTGCCACCACCATGCTAAACCATAGGGATGGTGCCAGGTTTCCTCCAGATGTGATGCTTGGCATTCAGGTCAAAGAGTTCAATCTTGGTTTCATCAGACCAGATAATCTTGTTTCTCACTTTCTCTGAGAGTCCTTTAGGTGCCTTTTGGCAAACTCCAATGGGCTGTCATGTGCCTTTTACTGAGGAGTGGTTTCCGTCTGGCCACTCTACCATAAAGGCCTGATTGGTGGAGTGCTGCAGAGATGGTTGTCCTTCTGGAATGTTCTCCCATCTCCACAGAGGAACTCTGGAGCTCTGTCAGTGACCATTGAGTTCTTGGTCATCTCCCTGACCAAGGCCCTTCTCCCCCGATTGCTCAGTTTGGCCGGGCGGCCAGCTCTAGAAAGAGTCTTTGTGGTTCCAAACTTCTTCCATTTAAGAATGACCTTCAATGCTGCAGAATTTGTTTTTGGCACCCTTCCTCAGCTCCGTGCATCGACACAATCCTGTCTTGGAGCTCTACGGAGAATTCCTTCGACCTCATGTCTTGGTTTTTGCTTTGACATGCACTGTCAACTGTGGGACCTTATACAGACAGGTGTGTGCCTTTCCAAATCATGTCCAATCAAGTGTATTTACCACAGGTAGACTCAAATCAAGTTGCAGAAACATCAAGGATGATCAATGGAAACAGGATGCAACTGAGCTCAATTTCAAGTCTCATAGCAAAGTGTCTGAATACTTATGTAATTAAGGTATGTTTTTCATTTTTAATACATTTGCAAAAATTTCTAAACCTGTTTTTCGCTTTGTCATTATGGGGTATTGTGTAGATTGATGAGTAAAAATTAATTGAATCCATTTTAGAATAATCAAATTTAATTTGCCACATGCGCCGAATACAACAGATGTAGACCTTACAGTGAAACGCTTACTTACAAGCCCTTAACCAACAATGCAATTTTAAGAAAATATAAAAAAGTTAAGTAAAAAATTTAAATAAGTCTGTAATGTAATAAAATGTGGAAAAAGTCAAGAGGTCTGAATACTTCCCGAATGCACTGTACATAGCCCATACCTTTGCAATTGGCATAGAGTAAGTGAAAAGCATACATCACTATAAATTATCAAATGATATAGGTGGAATATAGCGCACATACTTTTGCTTGTAGATTCCTTTGGTGGAGGCCGCATCGTTTGAATAAGTCTGAGCAAATTGCCGACAAGTGAATCCTGAAACATGGAAAAATAAATTGAATTTGCTGTGTTCATAGAAAAATGTACATAGCCATCAGATCGGACCCGCTTGCTTACAGCTGCACTAGGGTCGGACAGACTTCCTGTGTAGATTAAGACACTGCGGGGCCGGCTCGAGATATGTCTCGGAAAACCTACATCAATCCAGGGATGAGAAATGTGTTGTACTCCGACTTGTCCCATTATCCCAACTGTTACACCGAGAAGATTGAACGACTGCTCGTTTTCCCAGAAAATTGCCCTTTTCGTCCTCATGCTAGGTAGCAGAAGCCACAGCAGCCATTTTGGAATGGTAGTGTCAGCCAATCAGCTCCTTTGTTGTTCAACGTGACATGCCATTCCATAATGGCTGCTGTAGCTACTGCTAGTTAGCGTGAGGATGAAAATGGCAGTTTACTTAAACTATCAGTCATTCAATCTTCTCGGTATAACGGTACACCGTATTTCTCATCCCTGGATCGAGGTACTTTTTTTAGCCATATCTTGCGCCGGCTCCGCGGTGTCTTAATCTACACAGGAAGTCTGTACGACCCTAGCTCAGCGGTACGCAAGCGGGTCAGATCTGCTGGCTACTATCTAGCTAGCTAGTTACAGTAGATAGCAGCAGACAGGTAGTCTGTACTTACTGTGAATTCTGCGCCATTTTTCAACAGAAGTGATTTAAAGCCATCAAATGTTGGTTGCTTTTCAGCAAGGCTGATGACAAACTCGGCTGTGAGGCAAAGAACATACACATTAGTTCAATATTAATCTGATTAGCCAAGTAACGTTAACCCTAAACATTTTGAGTGTAGCCTTGTTTGCTTGCTAACGGGGCTATCACACCAGCTAGCTAGCCAACTTTAGGGTCAGACATAGCCCTAGATCATGACTCAGTTCCATTACACATAAGAGTCATTGGGCGAAGACGTCCTCTGTATGGGGAAGTTTTGTTAAGAACATTAACACGCGTCACTTGCGGTAGGGTATTGGAAGCATAAGGACCTTATCACAGATAGAACAATGAGACAGATATTTCACCGGATGTATAAATGTGATGCTTCCAGTTGGCGTTTCCACTCACTACCAAATATGGTGATGGGAGGAAGCCAAGTGGCCGGCAGTGGGAGAAGATGGAATTTGGCCGACATTGTGCAAATTACTCAATGAAACATTTTATCTTCATACAGTTTTTTCCAAAACTAGAATCTGTAACAAACAGAGTGGACTGCATTTTGTAGACTTTACCCTTTGCTAAAGTTTAAAAACATTGCATTATTTAGGAGTGCTAGGGCGAATTGAGTTATTGCACACGCACACATCAGGGTAGGCGTTCCCTAAACAGAAATATGCAAATAAACGCACCAATAGGATCTCACTAGCTCGTGCTTGGCTCTGCCCACTATGATTAACTTGCTCCCATTGGAAACGACAAGCTCTGGTCGATGTTGGGTTAGCGATACAAATATTTGACCATTATTATTTTATTTATTCTTTGTTTCTGGCCATTTTGAGCCTGTAATCGAACCCACAATTGCTTATGCTCCAGGTACTCAGCTAGTCTCAAGGCGGCCAGTTTTATTGCTTCTTTAATCAGCACAACAGTTTTCAGCTATGCTAACATAATTGCAAAAGGGTTTTCTAATGATCAATTAGCCTTTAAAATGATAAACTTGGATTAGCAAACACAACGTGCCATTGGAACACATGACTGATGGTTGCTGATAATGGGCCTCTGTAGCCTATGTAGATATTCCATTTAAAAAATCAACTGTTTTGACCTACAATAGCCATTAACAATGTCTACACTGTATTTCTGATCAATTTGATGTCATTTTAAATGGACAAAAAATGATTTTCTTTCGAAAACAAGGTAATTTCTAAGTGACCCCAAACTTTTGAACAGTAGTGTATATATATATATATATATATATATATATATATATATAAAAAAATATTAAATTGATACACACCTTTTTAGTTAGTGTTCCCACACTGCCATATATCCATGTTACAGCACTTTTTTTTTTACAGAACAGAAGACAGACAAGAGGCGACCACTTGCGCTAATTAGCCATCTAGCATTAGCAGAACACCTGGGTGTAAGTGTAACTCTGGAAGTGTACCGGAAGTGTCGTTTCGTAGATGGAGTCATCCATAGGTCTATGGATCTGTCCAAAACTGACAGTAAGTGTATATTTTTGTATTTGAAGGATTCTTTATCGCTTATGAAAATTAAGGGCCATATGTTTCGAAAGCAATGATTATTTTAGTTTCTAAACGTTAAAACATAGCGTCGGGATTGTAGTTCACATGAGGCAGTCGTGGGCGAATCGAATGTTGCCTGAGAACTGTAGGGAGAAGCCAGAATGCTGCCTTGAGTTGAGAGCTTGATAGGTCAGACAGAGCGAAATATGCCAATGTTGTGTTAGTTAGCGAACGTTCGTCCGGTTAACTTTGTCTCGGCAACAAGACAACCACAAGTTAGTGCCAAGCGAGTTACTTGGACTCGTTTTGGGTAAAATACTATCTAGCTAGTAAGTAGACAGTTAGGTAGGTAGCTAGCTATCGTTGGATATCAGGTAGCTAACTTAGCTGGTTAACTACCTTGCTAACTGCTAAACAAAAACACAACTTTCAGTTTTACATACCTAGATCTTTATCACTTATCCCCAGATGGTTGTCGAGTTCTGTGCACACTTTGGATACCAACGAGAGGTATTCGAGCTGTTCTAGCTCGTTATCTCCGATGTTTGCCATTCTCCACGAGATTGTTTTGTGGTCAGAAGAAAACAGCAGCAGACATATTTGGAATTTGATGATGGAGTATGACACCATTTCCGGTTCTACAGGAAATTAGTATGTGTGGTGTAGTTCTTCTATTTTGTCACCTGGTGGTGGTAAAACCATTCACAAAATGGGACTCACTAGAAACACTCCACTTCGATACAAGTGACTTTTCGTAGCAGGTAAAGTTAGCATTTTCGCTAATCCTAATCTTAACCTAATTATCCTAACTTGTTGCGTAATCCTCCTAATCTGCTACGAAAAAGTCGTAACTGTATCGAAGGGGCGTGTTTTTAAGATATCTCCCAAGATGGACACTATCTCTATAGAACTGCATAATAACAAAGTCAGTAGAGTTTACAGGATGTTTTGACTGCCACAATGACATTCATACACCTTGCTTTACACAGCTCTAGTCAGTTCACACATGGCCTTGAATTACAGGACCCAGCAAACTATGTGGCATACATCGTAGTTTTTGAGAGCAGTTCTGGGGGGGTTTGCGGCCTCTCATGCCCTGATGACAAGAAAAAGCCACATATTACATAGTCAAGAGAAGAGACATGTACTTTTTTCTCTCTATCTATCTTTCTCTCCCTCTCCGTTATGTAATAGATGGCTGGGAGATGTTGGAAGCATGATGTAACCTGACAGATGTGGCATCCTTCCTGCATGTCCCACCATAACCCACCCTCCTCCTCTCCTTCCTCTCTCTGCATGTCCGCACCCATTGACCCAGTCCCAGGACCCCTGCTTCCTCTCATCTGTCTGTCTACTTATCCTCTCTCTCCCTGGGCCGTAAGCGCCTTATGCCCTGTTCATAAACACACACAGGGTTAGGAAGTAACTGATCAGTTACATGTACTGTATTCAGATTACAAAAAACTCTTAACTGTAATCAGTTATGTTACCAGTAAAAAATATTGTCATCAGATTACAGACACTTTTGAAAAACTAGATGATTACTTCTTGGATGACTTTTCAATTCAGAAATTGTGGCACACTTTTAAATACATTATGACACTCAATTCAGCATTGAAAAAAGGCATATATTTAAGTTTGTTCCACCTGAACGAGTCTGACCACAGGTCAGAGACCACTATGATGACAGACCAAATGCATTTGATGGATCCTTTTTGTCTTCTTCTAATGCCTCTTAAAGGGAAAGTAATCCAAAAGTAACTGAAAGTAATCAGATTACGTTAATGAGTTTGGGTCATCTAAAAGTTATGTTACTGATTACAATTCTGGACAGGTAACTAGTAACTGTAACAGATTACATTTAGAAAGCAACCTGCCCAACCCTGAACACACAGCAGCACTGAATCACTGCTATCTAGGAAGAGCTGTTGCCACAAATACATCATCTCTCTTACGCCACACTCTTTTTATAACTCTAGAGATAATTGAACAGGTTTCATTGTCTTACTTTGTTATGCTGAGTTACCCAACTGCCCTGAATTTCAAACGTTTTCTTTGCACTGCCGTCTCTGAGATCTATTTCCTTCCCTTCAAGAGACCCACTTGCTCCCCATCCTCTTCTAAAGTCTCTTTCCTCCCCTCCTTCATTAAAGATTTGGATATCCTATATCTCCCTTAATTCTCTACCCCCTGGCCCACTGCTTAGGTCCCAGCCAATGGCTTGTATAATCATCCCCCACTTCCCTCTTCTCTTATCCAGCGTGGTGTAGCCTACATATTCCTATGTGTTTTGAAGTGGATCTGGGGGGACGGGTGGTGTAGCTGAAGCCCCCTGTCTTGTTCTGTCCCGGCAGAGTGGAGCTGAGGAGGGAGTAGAGACTCTTTCATAATGGACTTATACATGTGCAGATGTGTGGGTTTAGCCTATGTGTATGCGAGAGAGAGAAAGAGAGAGGGATGGAGAGGGAGTAGAATTGGAGAGTGACAAGGGGGGGGGGAGAGAGAGAATGGAGTGGAGAGAGAGAGAGTATCACTGTCAGAGTAAATTCCTTCCTGCTTGTTTACAAGCAACGCGGGGGAGGAAGGGGGGCGCGCGACAGGCAGTCATCTCCCTGTGTCAGTTTTTACATTCCCCTGTTTAACCGTCATGGGAAAAGATCCCCGCACTCATACATAAAAAAAAAGTGGATGGAATGCAGGGGTTTTTCCATGTTTATTTCTTGTCACTTCATCCGAGCTCTTTGCCACATTAGTGAGCATGGGGCAAAAAAAAAAAGAGAAAAGATGGGGTTCCAAACAAATGTGCCGTTGACCTACAGGCAGGAAGTGAATTCACAATGGTGCTACATGTTCAGTATGGCAATGTGTTTGTGTCAGATAAAGAGCGAGTGAGAGGGAGGAGGAGTGTATGAGAGAGAGGTAAAGTGTCTGAATGCGCGTACACATGTGAGCATATTCTTGAATTGACAGCACAGCTGGCTGCATTGTTTGACTGATGCTGAGTGGAAAATTCCTGCTACAACTGAGTATGGAGAGAGGGAAATAGGGAAGAGAGGAGGAGGGGGCCGCTGAGGGGGCAGGGCTAGGGTCCGAAAAGCAATGGAGGGATTGGTTGGCAGGAAAGCTGCCTTTGTGAGATCACAGCCCCCACAACAGCTTCCACCCACATGATGAGTGAGCGGGCTCCCTGCTAAAGATTCTGAGACAAGAAAAGTATCAATGAGAAAACGCCTGCGCATCTGTTATTATGTGTCACTATGTGACTCATTCAAATTTACTAGATAATGGACATTCACATTGATGAAAATGTGTTTTAGTAGAGCTAGGCCTTGTAAAAAAAGAGAACGCAAATTTCAGCATATATTGTCCACCCACTTCTGATTTTTGTTCAATCATATCAGGTGTATATGTGTGCAAAGGTGAGAGCTTGCCCATGCTCTTTTTATTGTCTTGCACATGCTGACCTGAAGCTGTCACGCTTGGGTAATGCAGTATTTCTGCCACCAGAGGGTGACACACAGTCAGGCTGGCCATGTGCTCACCTGCGGGACCCTCACACCATGCTTGCTGTCTGGGAGTGTGAAATTGGGATGATACCCACGGCATCAAGTGTTTATTGTAAAACATAACATGCTAGATTTCACCTGCAATCTAGTGCATGCAATCATCAAAAAACAACAACATGAAAACATGAAGAAAACTTAGACAGCACTTCTAAAAAACACCAGACATCAGAGTTGATCAGTCATGGGGAGAATGCAGTGTGACGTACTGATGAACTGAACAGTGTTAGCAGTCCCATCCATTCAGTCCCATAGCAATGTGACATGACAGGTTCTGTTTACTCATCATTTGCTGCAATGCGTGCATGATGCATTTCCATCCTTGGCTGACTGTAAATGTAAACTGAGCTTAGCAATGGTGCATTTCCAATTAGGATTTACCCAGTGTTTTACCCAAAAGGCTCAGACTTTTCTGTTTCCATCTAGGCGGGCTGGCACCCGTGCATGGCTCTGGCGGACCAGCTCTAACTTGGGACCAAAGCCAGGCCACTGGTACTTTCCAACTGGCATTGACATAACAATGGCTAATTGTGAGCTTTAACACCTTCTCACAAAGCAACAGTCTTGAATGATGCAGAGGTTGTTGATACTGCTCGCCTCAAGTCTTTAGTGTCACACTGCTGATGGAAACACAATAACACTAGAGCCTACATTAACATAGAACAGTGGCGACCCACTGGTGTGGGGGTAAGTCTAATTGGAAAAGCACCACAAGTGTACTTTTTTCCATAACATTTCTGAAAGCCTCCACTTTTCCACAATCCTTTTTGAAATCTTGAAGATAAAAAATATAAAGGGCTGTGCAACTGTATAGTTTGTTTATATGTGTTATTATTGCAGTGGAAATATGTGGTGTATGGAAATACAGATATCCCAGTAAGCAAATTGACGTTGAAAATACGTATTTTAGATGTATTTTCCAGACGTTGACGTCAGGTGCATTTTACGTGCTGAATGAAAGGTGAAAATATGTAATTTACAGACATTGAAAATATGTATTTTTCTGTCATTGATTTTATGGGCAAATTTCAACTGCACATACACTACCGGTCAAACGTTTGGACACATATACTCATTCAAGGGTTTTTCTTAATTGTTACTATTTTCTGCATTGTAGAATAATAGTGACGATATCAAAACTATGAAATGACACAAAAGGAATCATGTAGTAACCAAAAAAGTGTTAAACAAATCAAAATATATTTTATATTTGAGATTTTTCAAATAGCCCTCCTTTGCCTTGATGACAGCTTTGCACACTCTTGGTATTCTCTCAACCAGCTTCATGAGGTAGTCACCTGGAATGCATTTCAATTAACAGGTGTGCCTTCTTAAAAGTTAGCCCTATTTGGTAAAAGACCAAGTCCATATTATGGCAAGAACAGCTCAAATAATCAAAGAGAAACGACAGTCCATCATTACTTTAAGACATGAAGGTCAGTCAATACGGAACATTTCAAGAACTTTGAAAGTTTCTTCAAGTGCAGTCGCAAAAACCATCAAGCGCTATGATGAAACTGGCTCTCATGAGGACCACCATAGGAATGGAAGACCCAGAGTGTGTACATTCTCATTATATCACAATAATACTTTTTTAAGAGTCTTAATATAGGAAAAAGGAGCGTCAGGTGCAAATAGTCCGGGTAGCCATGATTAGCTGTTCAGCAGTCTTATGGCTTGGGGGTAGAAGCTGTTAAGAAGCCTTTTGGAACTAGACTTGGTGCTCCAGTACCGCTTGCCGTGCGGTAGCAGAGAGAACAGTCTATGACTAGGGTGGCTGGTATCTTTGACCATTTTTAGGGCCTTCCTCTGACACCGCCTGGTATAGAGGTCCTGGATGGCAGGAAGCTTGGCCCCAGTGATGTACTGGGCCGTACGCACAACCTTCTGTATCCGGTCTCACTGTAATTGACCGTTAATTAAAATAAACACATTTAGCAGCTCATGGCTTCCACGCATAGCCTACAAGCCACTGATGCAGACCTTTGGAACATCTACATTTTATCCATTTAATATAGCCTACACCTTCACAATAAATGCATTATTTATT